CCTTTTGGCGGATCTACCTTACCCTGTCCTGCTGCACATCACTATTGCGCGTGCCCGCCGTCGCTGCAGGTCCGATTGTCTAGGCGTTTTTACCGACGTCTTTATTTTTTTCTACCTTCCCCTTCGTTCCCTTTAAAAGAGTCCCCCATTTTTGCCCCTCCTCCTCCGGCCCCTCTCTTCCACCATGTCTACAAGCGAGACACTTCCGCTTTACAATCCAACGGCTACTGACCCGGACGGTACGAATATGGCTCCTAATACGAGTAAGTTTGAGAAGAAAGGAAGCTATTTGAACGCTTGAGCTTCACGGGTATTGCAAAAAGACCGTTGATCACTAACCTTGGGGCCTTGCAGAGAAAAATGTTGCCGAGTGCATCTCTGATGACGCACTGGTGCACTTTAAGTCATACAAGTACTCAAGCGTCGACCTGTCGCCAGTCTCGAAATACGTTCTTGGTCCTTTCGTATGTATTGCCTATACCTCCAGCTCTCTTTTGCGCATATTTTCAGCTTTATTTTACTTCTTTGTCTTGACAATTACCATGTGGTTGAGCTCAACACCACTGGCCTGCCAAGTTTTTGGGAGCTCGTGATAGCTAACGCGTCTTTGTCGTCATGTAGTGGAATGCCTCTGTCAACCTCCTACCACTATGGATTGCTCCCAACATGGTGACCCTTTTGGGCTTTTGCTTCATTCTGATAAATGTCGCTTTCTGTGCAATCTGGATGCCTGATCTCGTTGGACCGGTATGTTGAAGGCCCTCCATGTCTCTGAGGTGACATACTAATCGCAAATGATGGCAGGCTCCTTCGTGGCTTTACTTCAGCTTTGCCTTCGGCCTCTTCATGTACCAAACGATGGACAATCTCGACGGAAAGCAAGCTCGACGAACTGGAACCTCAAGCGGCCTCGGCGAACTCTTCGATCACGGCATCGACTCCTTGAACTGCACACTCGCCAGTCTGCTCGAAACTGCCGCCATGGGCCTGGGTACCTCCCCAGCTGGCATCATCACCGCTCTATGCCCATGCCTGCCCATGTTTTTCTCGACCTGGGAAACATACCACACGCATACTCTCTTCCTGGGCGTTATCAACGGTCCTACGGAAGGCATCCTCATTGCTTGCACAATTATGATCATGTCTGGCATTTGGGGACCCGGCATCTGGACCATTCCTCTGGCTAATGGCATCAAGGATACCCTACCTGGTCTTGCTGAGCTCCTTGGTGAGACGACTTTCCGAGATATCTGGATTGGCCTAATTATTGGCTCCCTTGTCTTCACACAGATCCCCTTCTGTGTGCTCAACGTTGCCAAGGCTCGCAAGTCTAGAGGAGAGCCGATTCTCCCTGTCTTCCTTGAGTGGATTCCTATGGCTGTCTTCACTGTTTCAATCGCCGCCTGGGTTTTCTCTCCTTACAGTACCATCATGAAGGAGAACCACCTCATGCTTTTCTGTTTCATCATGTCATTCGTCTTTGGCCGACTGACCACCAAGATTATTCTTGCGCACTTGACTCGCCAACCTTTCCCCTGGTGGACCGTTATGCTGTACCCTCTTATTGGTGGTGCGTTCCTCGGAAACATGCCTCGATTTGGACTCCCTCAGGTCAGCGCCCAATTCGAGCTCTTCTACCTGTGGGCCTATCTTCTCTTTTCCATGGTTGTCTATTTCCGCTGGGCTTGGCTCGTTGTTACCAGCATCTGCAACTACCTCGGCATCAATGCTCTCACCATTCCTAAGGAGAAGCAGATCGCCAACAAGGCGGCACAGGCTGCCAACAAGCTGCACTAAGCCGGAACTAACCGTTCTGGCCGAGCAATCTTGTTCTATGAAGCCCTGATAGATCCAAATGACATACACAAATAATCAGCATCCACCTAGGAGAGGCGCAGCATTTTGGAAGAGAAATCATGGTACAAAAAATATCGGTGTCGCAATACAGGGCGAAGAATCAAAGCATGATGAGGGCGTTTGGTGTTTACTTGCGAGTTTCTCGCATTCTTCATGACGCTAGGATACTAGGGGGTCTTGTATCACGTCAAGAACCATTGGGGGTATATTCATTGTAATAGATTTAAATGAGGAGCATGTGTAGATGATGGGGTTAGAGACTGCCTTTGGATAGGCCCCGGCTTTGACGCATAGAGCGTAAGCCAGATCAATAAGAAGTTTCAATATTTTAGATGCATTGTCCATCATCGTTCTCGCATCATAAGCTCATGATACTGTTGTCCTGTCTGTGTTGCTCATGAGGTGCTTCACAACATTTTAGAAACGTGGGGTTAACGGGATGACGTAGCCTGCGTTAGCTTCAGATGATGTATGTCTGCAGGAACTGTTGGTAGAGAGTTTTGATAAAATCTTGCCTGCTTATTAGTTTCTCGTATAATAAAATGATATTGGGTCAGAGCAACGCTTCTGGAAGAGAAGGTCTCGAAGCTAGCTCCTAGCAATACCTATTTAATGTGAAGCATAACGTCCATTACCTGAACAACGATGAGTGTTTGGATAGCGCAGCTCTTATGCTTTTCCTCGGAGGGGGGGTTCAGTGTCAATGGCATTGTGTCGAATCTCAGTCTCTATGGAATGTGTTCCAGCCTTGCTACGGCTGACTCACACGCCAGGCTGAGGCACGATCAACGAGATCTTTTCGTAATAATTTTCAAGGCTACAGTAGTCTCATTAAGGCCAAAAAAACGGAGATAACGACCACAGTATATCTGAATATGTTTGGTTCAGTGAAAGTAATACGTGTCCAACTTCACAAATGCGTCCAGTATGATTTATCCGTATCAAATCCACCCTCAGATCCTTTATAACCGTGAACCAATGGGACTTTACCATTGCAGCCATGGATAGTGAGTGACCCGACCCCTGGCTGTTCAACCATAAGGTAATTTAAAGGGTCCTCTCCTCCCCCGCGCCTGTTGTGCACATCAAAAAGGCGTCTTCTACCGAGAGCTAACAGGGGCTTCGGACCAATATCATTTCAGTAGAGCAACTGAAGGGCCTACATGAAGTCCGGATCCATTTTATAGAAAGCAACACACAATGGACTTGAGGCTTAGTATTGTTGTAAAGAAAAAGATACACAATTGACAGAATAATGTGAGCTTTGGCCTCCATTGCCACATATGGGGTTGTGGCCGGAGTATTGTATCAAGGTACAAAGCTTCGCCTGCAGTATTGGGCCTGGGCGAAGTACCTACTATTTTCTCCCCACATCCTTCTTGTCGTACCTGGCCTTATCCTCATCCCTTGCATGGGCTGGCGAGAGAGGTTTAACTCCTGACACGAAGCTTTTGTTTGCTTGATTCTCCTCTGTCTTTGTTCGCAACGTCCACGCTCACTTCCACAGCTGAACTTTTGCGCATTATCATACGATTATTCTGATCCTCCAGACGGAATGAGCTAGTTTTGCGCCCCACGATAACCCGAACCAAAACCCGCTTCTTGTTGGTTTAGAGTAGTATTTATTGGTGTCTTCCATCCATGGCTGAATCTCTGACAATGCCTCGACCGCTATCGCAATTGTCATTCCTTGCAAAGCTTCTCGTCTTTGTCTGCCTGCTCCTATCGACGGTCGCCGAGTCCATGACACTTTCAGATGAAGCCCTCGAGAACATTCCTTCGCCCGGCGACGATTTCGATATCAAGGATGGCAAGCTTCTTGCTCCTATTCTGATTCCTCGTGTGCCTGGCACCGAGGGTCAACTGCGCGCCCAGAAACACTTTGTCGAGTTCTTCAAGGATAATCTTCCTGAATGGAAACTCGAATGGCAGAATTCGACTTCAAAGACACCTGTGCACGGAAACAAGCAAATCCCCTTCTCCAACCTCATCTTTCGAAGAGACCCCCCTTGGGCGCAGAACGGAGACGTCAGTCGACTTACGCTGGTCGCGCACTACGATAGCAAGTATGAGCCTGAGGGATTCATTGGTGCAATCGATAGCGCTGCGCCATGTGCCATGTTGATGCATGTCGCGAGGAGCATTGAGGATGCGCTCACTGCGAAATGGGACAAGATGCAAAAGGATGGATCTGCGGATGACGGGCTTGAGGAGACCCAAGGAATCCAGATTATCTTTCTAGATGGCGAAGAGGCTTTCAAGCATTGGACCGAGGAGGACTCGCTCTACGGAGCCAGGTATGATAGATGTTATGCAACTAAACTGCGAACCGAAAAACTGACTAACATGGCGTCAAGGTCACTTGCTGAGGAATGGGAATATCAGTTCCACGGATCTACTGCAACTTACAGAACTCCTCTGGACTCTATCAGTCTGTTTGTTCTTCTCGATCTTTTGGGTTCCGCGGACCCTACTATTCCTTCTTACTTCCTTACAACCCACTGGGCATACCGAGCAATGGCAGGTCTTGAGAAGCGCATGCGACAACTCAATGTCCTTGAGACCAAGCCCAGATTTCCTTTCCTTCCAGATGGCAACAAAACAGCCAACCGCTTCACTCGCAGCTATATCGACGACGATCACCGACCCTTCATGCAGCGCGGTGTCGACATCTTGCATCTCATTCCATCGCCCTTCCCTGATGTGTGGCACGAGATCACAGATGATGGTGAGCATCTCGATCTCCCAACCGTGCGTGACTGGGCGAGAATCACGACTGCGTTCGTGGTGGACTGGATGGGTATTCAGGACTTCATGCCCAAGTTGGCAGGAACTAAAGCGAAGAGGAATGGTGCGGCTGCGACAACTACGTCGAGTCGGAGGACGGAGCTTTAGATGACATGAACGTACATATCTGCATCATTTAGAGAAATGTCGGTGGGTTTCTTTGGGCTTGGCGTTAAAGGCGCGATGTCATGAAAAGAGTCATGTAATGAACAGTCGATCTTGCAAACATGGAGTAAAGGAATCTTTGGTTGACTAGCAAACATATGAATTTACTCTTTATACATACTGAGGTCTCACATCACCTTTCTGCTGTATCAAAAGAACCCTGAAAACGCTCATATTTCCCGAGGGTACCGTGTAAGACGGACCGAGAAGAAGAGGCATTTATTACGGATTTGCACCAACATCAGACTAACAACAACTCCCGAAGTAGACGCCAAATTTTCCTGATTGGCTGACTCTATCTTGGACCCTGACGGCGCCTGTGAAAGGAGGGCGTCTCCAAGTTTAAGCCCCGGACAGTTTTTATGGAGTCTGGAGAGATATCGAGGTTCGTGATACGTTACGGCCAACTTCCAGCGGGTTATTGGCAGTTTGTTTTTGGTTTTGCGCGACATACGAGTAAGGTGAGGTAAGGGTATCGATCATGTTTGTAGTTCAAGCTGACGTCGGCTTTTCTGGCGCCCTCTTGACTCATTTATAAGTTTGATAGTCTTCTATTTAAGTGATAGCTGCTCCCTGTTCTTCAGTTGTTGTAAACCACACTCGTCTTATACCTCACTATGTCAGCCATATACTCTGAAGCCCAGGTCGCCGGGTTTCTCAAACATCTTCAAATCCCCCAAGAGTTCTATGTGGGCAATGAACCTATTCTAGACCATGCCTTTCTCAAAGTGCTGCATCAGCACATGATCGCAACAGTCCCATATGATAACTTGACACTGCATTACTCGTCGCATCGCGATATCACTCTCGAGCCTCAAGCTCTGTACCAAAAGATCGTGGGGGATGGGCGTGGAAGAGGAGGTTACTGCATGGAGAGTAACCTCTTTTTCTGCTACATGCTGAGAGCTTTGGGTTTCCAAGTATATCCCGTTGGCGTGCGAGTTCGTCTGCGAAAGGATGGTGTGCCTCACGGAGGTTATTGCGGCTGGTAAGATGAAATGCAGTAGCTGTCCCCAGTATCACTCACCAATTGCTTACAGGGTCCATATTGTCAACATCGTAACTCTACCTGACAACTCTCGCTGGGTTATCGATGCTTCATTTGGCGGCGACGGCCCTACACAACCCATGCCCCTAGCCGAGGGCACTGAGTGGCGCAACATGGGCACACAAGACGCACGTCTTATTAAAGACTTCATCCCCGGCCAAACAGAGCTCACAGCCGGTCGCCGTCTCTGGATCTACCAATGCCGCAACTCTCCCGAGCAACCCTGGATCAGCTTCTACGCTTTCAGTCACTCAGTTGAATGGCTGCCCGCCGATTTCGAGATCTCCAACTGCTACACGGGCACAAGTCCACGCAGCTTCCAGACAACAACGGTGCTGATTGTCAAGTTTCTTCTGCGAGAGAGCAAAACTTCACCAACGGGCGAGGAGATTTACGGGAAACGAATGCTCATCAATGATGTGGTGAAGGAGAACCCTGGGGGTAAGACAAAGGTTCTAAAGGAGTTGAAGACAGAGGATGAGAGAGTGGAGGCGTTGAAAGGGTATTTTGGTATTGATTTGACGACGGAAGAGAGGGAAGCTATCAAGGGCTTCCAGACTGAGATTAAGAGCGAGTAGAGGATGATATACCACCTGTCATTGTTTTAGAGCTATGTGATTATGATAGAAATGATTTTTGCAATATTGAACGATTATACATACGCTTAAATAGAGGGAAACAAGGAGCGCATTTCTTTTCAGTCGCTGATACATCAGGTGTGTTTTGTTTTATGGTATGGTTTTATAGTGCCAATGTATGAAATCATTCGCCAGTTAATTCTAGTGCCTCAATTATATCACCAGCATATAGTAACCCCCGAATCTGAAAGATCTGGCGTCTAACCCAGCAAAACATGCCCTACGAGTCGTAATTTGTACAATCAGTGAGCCACTGTTGTCTAAGCAAGATCTACTGTCAGAATGGATCACAGATCTGAGGCCAGTTTATAATGTACGGCGGGATCCTTCTTTTACATATTTGGTTGTGCGAGAGCACGTAAATTCTTACATTTTCGAATCGCTGACACGCTCAGTATGCTACCCTCTAGGATTAGTCATAAATTCAGAGGTTAATAAAAGTAATTTGCGTTCACTGTGAAATGAAATTGTTCCTCCAAAGCAAAGACATCACCTGGATTTACCCTGAAGCCAGGAGCTCTATTTGGATTTCCACCAAAGTTTGAGCTTCAACCAATCAAAACTCTCCACTCCCACCACGTAATGCAAGCTACCACCATCTTTAGCTGTCCTGTCTCATCCACTTGGCCTCAACTCTAGAACCGACCGAATCGACCTGCGATAACGTCAAAATCATGCGCTTCTCAATCGCATCGTCCCTACTTTTCCTAACGAGCGTGGCTAGCGCTGCCTCGTCTTGGAGTTTTACCGATGGCTCTGTTACTGTCGGCTCCAAGAGAGCCCAGGGCGTTACTGCCAAGTAAGCTAGCTGTCCCTCTCAAGATGCCATGATGGTGTTATCATGGGCGATTGATCGTGAGAGAACGTGTACTGACTGGTCTGATTCACATAGATTCAGCGATCAGAAGCCTACCAAGAAGCCTCTCGTCCTAGGCAAGACAGATACCATCAAGGTCTCGTTGACCACAACCGAAGCTGGCGAGCCAAAGCGACCTCACCAGGCATTCATCATCCTCACCGAGTCAACAGGCCTCGAGGCCCCGTTCCCTCTTAAGATGAAGGCGTCTGGAAAGGGCGAAGTCGAAATTGTACGCGATCAATGAAACCCGAATCAATTCCACGACTAACAACAATCACAGTCACAAAAGGATCTCCCTATCCAGCTGCTCCTCTCCGACGAACCCATCAAAGCCAACCTCGTCCTGGGATCATTCGGCTCATCCAACCCTCTCATCTCCCCCGTCTTCGATATCGAAGTTCAACTCGACTCCAATGCTCCTTCACCTCAGTATGAGGCTCCCGTTCGATATGGTCCCCGAGCCGAGATCGACCATATCTTCAAGGTCGGCGACTCGAGCCCTCCTATGGTTGTCACTCTTGTCTTTGTGCTCGCCATCGTGGCTAGCGTTCCTGCTCTTTTCCTTGGCGTACGTATAAATGCTGCTATCATAAATTCACAGACTAACAAGCATGCAGTGGCTCTTCCTTGGTGCCAACGTCAACCATTTGCCCAAGGCCCTCAAAGCTGCTCCCATCTCTCACGCCGTCTTCTTTGGCTCTATTGTCGGTATCGAAGGCACACTGTTTCTCTACTATGCCCAGTGGAACCTCTTCAAGACCTTGCCTATCGTCATTGTCCTTGGTGTAGTGTCGCTCCTGAGCGGAACCAAGGCTCTGAGCGAGGTTCAGAGCCGCCGTCTCGCTGGAGAGAGATAATCTGGTTGACGATGTTCAAAAGTACCTGCTTGGCATGATAGAAGGGCTGAAGCTCGAAACCAAGCATTGCAAGTCAATGTCGGTAGAAAGCTAGGGGAAGATAGATCTCTTACTAAAAGAACAGGGTATAACAATGTTTACAATGGATGTTCCATGATGGGACTTTCTGTAACACCAAACGTCTATCGATCAAGAGGTTTTGGGACGGGTAACTTTGCTCGAGAGTTGAAATGATGCCAATCTTCAGGCATGCAAAACGGATGTACATTATGATAGACGCTGGAAATGGAGTCGGATTTGATGACTTTTCAATAATTGCTAGGCTCCAACAAGCGAATCTGTGTCATGATGTTTGTGAATCCTGGACTGAGACATGCACCTTGAACACTTCATCCGTGTAACTGACAGCCAAGAATTCCAGCTTATTATTCACTTCCTGCTTGCTCTCTTACAACGTTCCATGCTTATCGCAATATCCATTATCCATCGATTACTCATGCTCGAAAACAACTGCCACTTGCCACTCTCATTCCTCCTTCGGCTTGGTCCACATACTCAGCTGTTCCTCCAAGACACTGTTGAACCATTGTGTCTTCTCTATGATGGGCGCATGTCCCATATCGTCCACAATGTGTACAGAGCCTGGCTTCAAGACTTTTATGAGCTGTTCGCCATTGGGAAAGCTGATCATGTTGTCACGCTTTCCATGCATAACCATAATGCGCTCAGAGCCGACGCCTTCTGCTATTTCCCGTAGCTGGTCATCCGTCTTGTTGTGCAAAGCTGCCGCCGCAAGCTGACACATGAGCATTTTGGTGGTGTACAGCTCGGGATTTCGTTTCTTGGTGAGTTCCTGAGCTTGGAAACGCTGGAAGTTGGTCTCGAAGAGGCGGTACGTTGGACCACCCTCTGGCGGTGGTGGACTGCATCGTGCGGTGACGCCTGGCTCGGGTAGTATATCATCATCTGGTGCGACGAGCCACTCGGGTGTGAAGAGCCGGAGAGCGGTGTCGACGATACTGCGTTCCATGGACTTAGGGATGATCATACTCATACTGTCTGAGACAGTCTCCCACAGTCCTTTTGTGTTTTGAACTTTGCCTGATGTGCAGATGAGGGAGAGCGACTGCAGACGCTTGGAAATGCGAATAGCGACTTCTTGTGCAATCATGCCACCCATGGAGATACCAGCGAGGTTGATCTCCCGTTCAGCCTTCCAGCCAACATGGTCGATGACCTCGATGACATCGAGCGCCATGCCGCTGGTAGAATAGACACCCACGGGTTTGTCGCTACCGCCCATACCACGGTTATCGATAATGAGAACCGAGTACTTATCGGCACGATCATGACCGAAGTACTTTGTTTGACGTTGCCATGATGTCTTGACTCCTGCCAATCCCATAATAAGCTACACATGGTCAGTCAACATCTCCCCTCAGAATATGACCAAATCTGAAGCAAACATGATATAGACAGTAAGAAAAAGTAACACATGGACGGACAGTTTAAGGAAATTTAACGGAAGAAACGTACCACAAGCTTGACGGGTCCTTGGCCATGAATCTCCCATGCAATGCCGACCGGACCACCTCGACCCTCAGCGACAGAGACTTTGCCGTGGGAGTGAGGTTCTAGCGTCCATAGTGTGCCTGGGTAGGCAGGGTGCTTGAGCGTCTCCTCAGCAGAGGGAAACATGCGTTGTCTGCGAAGACGTATCGCGTGTAAGTGAGCCTTGAATCCACACATGACGAGCGAATGAAAAGAAACGAAGCGAGGCAAGATACTGAACAAAGAGAATATGATGATTATGATAGGAACGGACGGGTTTGTTGGTCGAGGACTCACATGTCAGACGCCATGATCGATATTTGGCGTTTGTTTGCTCTTATAATAAACCTGGCCCGGGCCCTTCTTGCGCAAACACGTTTGTGCACCTTCCGAGTTTCAAGGGAAAGTCTTGTTGTTGTTTGATAGTGTCGTATCTGAAGTTGCAGTTGTCAAAAAGACCCCGTACGTCACTCACGAACTACGCGAGTAAGAATGGGCAGTGAGTATGGAAGAAAGGTGCAGGCAGACTTGAGCGAACGAAGGATAAATGACATAAAAAAAAAGCAAAGAGTTGTCCCTATTGTAGCAGACTACCTACGCCATGAATTGTGGAGAGATAGAAGTAGTATTCGGAATATCTCATCACAACTCAACTTGCACTTTTGCTACTTGCCAGGGTTGAGAGAGAGCGAGTGAGTGATCCAAGGTGACATGGATCGCTGCATTATGCCTCGGCGCTACATACAGTGCTTGATCGCCATGGGCCTAGACACGCCACGTGCAGAATCCGAACGTGGTACGGCAACTTTACATTCCAGTCTTGATGAAAGTGAGAACGAGAGGATCCGAATTATAGGCTAGACTATAACTAAGCTATAGTCACAGAGTTTAATACACCCGTCAGCTTCACCATTCAGCTGTAGCCAATTGACTCGACGACTCCAACAGGCAATGAATCGCCAGACAGCAAATTCATGATTGGATATTCGCTAAACCAAGACTTGTACTCTTTTCAAGCCATTTCTTAATATCTCTTGATTGTCTCTTATTTTTGTTTCTTCCCAGATTGAACTCCTTTCTGGTGTCCCACAATCAAACCTGGTCGTTCATTCATTGTCCACTTAGATCTGCGTCGCAAATCCACAACTTCTCAATAGCCACCTCAAGGCATCACAAGTCCGATACCACTCAGGTTCTCTTCGTCAAGCTGGTTCTTACGATCGACACCTCCAGCAATTGGGTTAACACGGTAGTTGAACAGGTAATAATGAAGTTGACCATCACCGGCTCCGAATTTCTGTTGCTCCAGGAAGAGCGCATTGTCCATCAGTGTCAATGCGTTGAACACGTCGAACTTGTGGCGCTTGGAGATAATAAGGGCATCGTGAACAAGCTCGTTAAGGCGCTTCTTGAGAGCAGCTTTGTCGAACTTGTCCTGCAGGGCGACATCTGTACCATAGTAAAACATGTAAGCGACCTTAATAACGTTGTGCTTAGCGTTTCCAATAGCAGTCGACTCGATGCAGAAGAAAGAGAAGAAGTCGGTGATCTTGTTGTTTTCATCCTTTATAATTGATTAGTGCCCAACCTCTAAACTTTTGGTCTCACAATGACTTACCTCGACAACGTATGTCCACACAACCTGCTGCTCGTTGGGTCCGACCTTGGGGACAAACCAGTGGTGAGCTTCCTCGCGACTGAACTCTGGCGTCATATCGAAGCGCGCATTGTATCGCTTATACAAATCCATAACAGCATCAAGGTCCTTCTCCTCCAGCGGTCGCAGACCCTTGATGCTAGTATCGTCCGGTAGCGCATACTTGCGAACCTGGTACTGAGGTTTACTGTTTGCGGGGAGAGGACTAAAGCCACACTCATAAAGCTTCTGCCAATTAATAGCGCGATGGAAGTATCTGCATGTGCTGACGGGCTTGGGAAGGACGACGCCAGCGGTGTAGAGACCTTGCCAGATCTCATTGAGGTTGCTCCGTCTGGTAATCTCCTTAATGAGCACTGGTGTGAGACGTTTGCCTCGGAGCTTCTTGTGGATGGCAAGGAAGTTGACCTCGGAGCAGGTAACGACGTTCTCGCGGACACGCAGCTGAACGGGGATGGCCGAGATAAAAGCCACGAGAAGACGGGATTGAGTTGCGCGGACACCAACGTGGTATTCCTTCTTCCAGCCAGGAGGCATCATGGCCCTGCGCGTATTAGCGAGAACTGGTTCGGAAAAGTCAACTCATTTATTAGCGTAGCCGTTTGACAACTTACCATCGAAGAATAGATGGGGAGTAGTTGAAGCGGAACATGGCCTCATCGTCCTCGACGTAGTGCTTGTTCAGCAGCTCGTAAACCTCCTTGATCTCCTCGTCCTTGGTCAAATCCATTGTAACCCACTCAAAGCCGGGAATCAGAGGGGCAGGCTCCTTGTCAACCTCCTCGACTTTTTGAATGCGCAGAGGACCCTCCTTCAAAGTCGCATCCTCTCCAAACTTGGGCACAGGCTGCGTCTGCCAGAACTTATACGATCCCATATCTTTGGCGTTCTTTCCACCCGCGGCAAGACCAGTCATGATATCTTGTAGTGACATTTTCTTAAGCATGTCGGCAGCCTGAGAGCCAGAAGGATCATCGCTTTTGGAGGCCTTGGACACCTCTTGGGCGAGGGCCGGGTTTAGGGCGAGGAACTCCTTGATCTGCTGAGGAGTAAGGCCATCGAGGGCCTTATGGAAATCGGAATCGGTCGGGGCGGACTTTGAGCCGGTCAGGGCCTCCTTGACCTTTGATCGCTTCGACTTCTTCTTCTTTTTCTTCTTCTTGTCGCCGGAGCCCTCAGCAGCATGCTGCTCCTCATGCTCCTCCTCGGATCCAGATTCAGTGTTGTCGTCGGCTTCAGCTTCGGCGCCGGCATGAGCGATTGCCTTGCCCTTGAGCTCAGCGTTCGTCTCGTCGACGACGGGCTCAACTGGCTTGGACTCCTCGGACATGATTCGAGATAGACCTTTTGGTGTAGGTGTTGTCGATGCCAACTAATGTTACGTGGGGTGGGGGTTTGATCGAAAGTAGCTCTTTGGTGGGGTAATTCCACGGTAGCATGTGCCTGCCCTGCTAACCTTAGGTGGGGTTAAACGGCTATAAGTACCTATAAAGAACCAACCACGAAATCCACCACAAACCTTCACCTCACAAGGACTTTATACCTAACATCGCATCGACTGTTTATCATAGTCCGCCGTACGAGCAGTGGAGTTAATGTGCGGCAGATCGGTTATCTGAGCCCGAGAAATCAGGTCTCAAGTTAACTTTTGGCCGCCCTGCATGTCACTTGAACTTTCAGTTTGGGGCGAAAGAAGACTTGGCATGGATTCTTCACCAATTACCTGCCGAGACAAAAGCCCAAGGCAGATAATGCACATCTGGAGAACTACTGGTAACCGACCAAGTTGCATATATGAATTTCCGAGCCCGACTGCTTATCTCCCCTCTATCGTCTACACCTGTAGCTTCACCTCTTCACTCACCCTATATTGAGAGCTGAAAATGTCAGATCCCCGGAACTATACAATCGGCTGGATATGTGATACCTCTGCCGAGTACCTTGCTTCTCAATGCTTTCCGGGTGAAGCACATACAGTCTCCGGTTTCGTAACTCCCCACGATAGCAACATTTATGCATTGGGTTGAATAGGGCAACATAAGGTTGTGATTGCCTGTTCTCCTGTTATAGAATACGGTTACTTTCTACTCCTGCTATCATTAAAGATATGGTATGCGGTTTGCCAAATTTTAGAGTTGGGCTGTTGGCCGGTATTGGACGCGGTGCCTCGAGTCCCAAACATGATATGCGCCTTGGTGATGTGGTGGCTGGTTTTTCGGTATATCAATACTAATTTGGAGGAGTCACACGAGAGAATGAGCTATGGATACGGAGAACTGGGGTCTCGACACCGTCATCAAATTTGCAGTCGGAATTGCTTGCACTTAAAAATGGTCGGGCCGGGGGACGCCAGCTTGAGAAATACATCAACGAGATCCATTATTGAAGAGCACCCGAGAATCCAGAAAAGGTTCAAAGACCCGATCCGAGCACTGATACACTTTACCATTTCTGGCTGTTTGGAAGCCTGTGGTAATGATTCCTGTGGTGCGACCTGATCGGCCTGACAATGCGGATAATCTATACCCCTGGGAATACATGACCCTGAAAATATGAAAACTTCGAAGTTGGGTTCCATATAGTAACACAGTAAATTCTACATCTCTTATCGAACTGTGCCAAGTAATTACTAAGAAATCGTATATAAGTTGGTTCATTACAACTTAATGGACCAGATATGAAGATGCTACTTATCAGATGCCAAGTAACTACTCTGGTATAATGTGCTCTCCTCGTCTACCTACTCATCACTGTAGGTCGTTCCGTGAAGATCAAATGCCCTCATGATCGCCAGCGCAACAGGCGCATAACCCATAACATCGTTGTGGCCTGAGTCTCTTATCAACACTCAATCTCAATAGACATGAACATGTTTCTACTTACCGCCGTATGGAAAAAGCTCTTGACGGATAATCATGTTGGGCTCAGCCGTCCAAGTAGTCACAAATGCATCCTTGCCCTTGCGGATGGTGCGTTCTTCCTTCCAAGCCTCGAAGTCCTTGTCGTCCATGATTCCAAGCGTCTCTTGGGCAGCTGCCCTGAAGAGCTTGTTGTCCTCAGTCCATGGAATATCTTTATCATTCTTGGCGTGAATCAGATTGAGCCTTAGCCTCGTTTTCGTAAGACGGACAACGTTGGCGAGTCGTCTATCCGAATGCCATTTGTCGACCACGAATCGGTGAATGAAGCGCACGAGTGACGGCCACATGCGGAAGGGAGCAAGTACAGGGAAGATACCCACAATGCGATAGCCCAATAGGAGATTTGCAAGATCACTGAACCCGGCGACTATGGTAATACCTGCAAATTCGACGCCCTGAAGAGCGTACTTTTCAGCAACGGCACTGACTACAGCAGTACCTAAACTCTGCCCGAGTAGTACGATGCGACTTGGTGGAATCTCTGCGACTTTGGTAGCCCAGTCAACGAGTGTTGCAGCATCTTGAATTACTCCAGTCTCTGAAGGCGTGCCTGTAGAATGACCAAATCCTCGGTAGTCGATGGCAATAACATGATATGATGAAGTATCAGTCAGAGAATGATAGCTGAGAGGTCGAATAGCTTGCGCAATATGACCAGCATTCTGTGAAGTTAGTTGTTGTTGACCAGAATATGGCGGTCATCACTTACACCGTGAACTGAGACATGTGTAAGTATCGATAGGATGAGAACTGCAGATTCAACTTACAATACAGAACTAAGCGAGATTCCGGATCTTCTTTCAGCAGACGAAATGACTCAGTCTTGGTGAAGTCTGCCGAGAAACCCGGCTCTTGGGATTCGATCTTGGCCTCATTTTGTAGATATAGAGGGAGTGGAAGGATGTGCCAAGCGTAGAGAGATTCACCGTCAGGAGTCTTTAATGAGAACGGAGTTACTTGGTTCCCTATGCAAGCATTATGTGAGTGTTACAAATACAAAATCTCAGAGTATGGACATACGAGCGAAACCCCATCGTTCTGGTTGGTTGACATTGCTCCATAATAATGTATTGAACTTATGTGCATACAGGAACCTGATTCGAGAGTCAAAACCAATGAAATCCACGATAATATGGCCCAAACATACTGTCTCTGGAAGAACGGTGTCATTCCCAATCCCAGGAAAACGCAATATAGGCCAAGTGGCGCTGCAACGGCTATAACCACAGCCTTGAAGGCGGGATGAAGATAAGACATGATTTTCTGTTGATGGACCGAAATAACAGATCAGAGTAAAAGAGATCTATGAGGGATTCTGAAAATAAAACGCTACCTTGACCGAAGCAAATAATACGCTCACCTGGTAATTACAAGGCAGAGCCCATGAAGGCCTGAGGTCGAACCAGACGTTGCTTTGTCCGCGCTAAGCATCAGTGATCATCGACGGGACTTCTCACGCGGGGAAAATTACGCCTGCATTCATGTACCTGGAGGCGCGTCTGCTGCGGCTGTTGCTCCACCCATTCTGCTGGGAAGAAAGAGCCGCGAAATGACCACACCTCACCTCACCTCAGGCTAATTGATATACTTTAGTACTTTGATGGCTGCTGAAGCAAAATATGGATAACTAATTTATTCTAAGGAAGTTTGTGAACTATTAACAGCCAACACGTTTGACGGGAGTAATTTCCCCAGCCATCTGCCTTAATCGATAAAACCTAATACCCAGACACTCTCACGGCGCTTCCAAAATAGACCCGGGCCTGTAAGGTCCCTGATGGGCCCCAGCTTCTTTTTTAACTCTAGGCGCTGGAGTGCTAAATTCAGAGGGCCGTCCTAGCCCAGAATTAGTACGACTTGGCCCCTTCGCCTGTTCTGTCCAATCAGACCCCTGAATTAACACTCCATGCTCCATCATGAAGGTGTGTTGGACCTGCACCACTGAGCCTCGGATTGCTGTCCGTGGCTGCTGCTACTTGAATGCTACTACCACTTTCTCTTTTCCAATGGGAGCCTCCATTCCCATCTTCCATCTCCCACCTCCATATTCTCTCAATATTCCCTCGTGACCCAATCTCACCTTCGCTTGTCCGAATATTTCTTGCTCGCGAAAACGACCGATTGCCGACCTTTACACGTTCATTTCGCTCCCAGACGCGCCTTGCATGGCCCTTATATAATGATTGCCTTCGGTCTTGCAGTGTAATTCCCTTGCGCTCTCTGTAGTTTGCCTACTGTACGAGCTAGTTCATGGAGCGAAAGCGCAAACTGCCCGCGCGGGCTGCCGCTCGAGGCGAAAACGTTGCTAAAAAGCGCAATGTTACACCTCGAGAGCGCTCTGCGACGCCTGCTGCTCCTCCCCCGCCAGCTCCAGAGCCAGAACCAGCTCCGGAACCTGAAGAGCCTCCCCCGCCGCCGTTGCCCAAGTCGATCCAGGCTGGTAAACCTCTTCCGACGGTAGAAGTCGCGCAGCCAGAAGAATTGTCGTCAAAGGAGTACCAGTCAGTTGGTGAAAGGTATGCCATATTGAACTGAGCCACGAGATAGTGATACTGACTGACGCGTCCCTCAAGTGGTGTACTTGCCGAATCCCTCTTTCGATCCCGTCACAAATGGATCAGCGAAGGTCTATTTGCAAAGTATTGGACCAAACCCCATAAGCGCAAGGGCGTTCTCAATGAAGACCCTAAAAACCCGCCCAAGGATACCATGTCAAAGGTTGGCACCGTAACGATCACGATTGAGCCTCATATAATCGAAGCCACGATGTACGTTGTGAAGGATCCGAAACCAAAAACTCAGCCCCTACCGCAGCAGCAACCGCAACACCGTCCGATCCTTCAATATGGTCCTCCGAATGGCTCAATGCCACCACCACTCGCACCTCAAGCATTGGGAGCTGGCACCCCGACGCAAAATAGGGCGACGGCAGGGAAATCCATACCACAAAGTCCATCTCAGGGTCCAGTACAAAGTCCAGCACAATCATCTCAAACGCTTCCCAGAACCTCTCAAGGTCAAATTGCTGCTTCGACGACAGCCCCGCCAGCGAACAATGCGACACCATCCCCGAGTCCAAGCTTCCAGCCGCGACCACAAACTGTAGGGCCTGTAGCGCCATCTCCAACACCCCCGATCTCACAAGCGTCTCCCAACATTTCCGCACCAGTGGCGCCTATGTCAGCTTCAGGGCCAACCATGGCACCAGTAGCACCGACAGCACCGGCTGGGCCGATGGCAGCCCCTTCAATGTCTCCAGTACCTCGACCGCCTCCAAGTTCTCATCCGCCCGCGAGTGGCCTCGCCAAACCTGCCCCAGCTCCAATTCCAGGCCCAGCTCCAGGTGCCCCAGCTCCAGGTGCTGCCCCTGCTGCGAAACCGTCGGCCAACGACCCTGTTATCGCTTTATTGGCACAAAAGGCTTCAGGAGATGCGGAGCTGCGCGATCTCATGAAGAGAGTGGCCGTGGGGCAAGCAAAGGAGGGTGAATTAGCTCACTTTCAGAAGATCATAGATCAACTGAATGCAGAATATCGAAGTAGAGGGGGACAACAAGGACCATCGGCAGATCGTCTTCTTGTCGATGGTCGCACAGTGCAATATTTTGCCACGGAAGTCAGGACTATTCTTGACATTGTCTTGGCCTCTAACCCCAACCAGAAGTCGTCTGAGCTGCGGCCACCACAAGGCAGTGATCCGCTTGTCGTTCTACTGGTCAAAACTGCCCTAGAGGATCAGAGGACGCGAGATATGATTCGAAGGATTGCGGAAAACCGACCCGGTTTCACTGATGCTACAGATCTCAAGGAAATTTTAGATAGGCTGCATCGCGATATGAAGACCGCTCCGAGAGCATCCCCTGCTCCTGTACAAATCCGTCAGCAAACCCCGAATGGCATACCGAATGGACAGCAAAAGGCAGCCCATACTGGACCTCCACCTAACCCGCAAGCTCTCAGATCAAAGGGGCCACCACCCGCGCCTAAACCAGACATTACTGCTGTTGTTTTTGACTTTGGAAGCGGTGACCGATATCTTTTTCCCAAATTCAGTATTCTGGAATATCTACCAACTACGACTGGCCAGCAAGTTGTGGCTTCATTCCTAATTGTTCGAAAAGGAAGCACATCTGAATATGGAGGTGACCCAAAGCTAGACTATTACCAGCCCGTCACGATACGTCTCTTTACGCCATCTGGACGCCATCTGGAGAACCTTGCGCGAGTTGTCGCTCCGCAAGATGAGGTCAGGCGCTACATGGACGATGTCATGGATCATATGACCCGCGCCGAGTATGTTCTCCTGGCCATGAGGCTCCCCAAAGCCAGTCCGGATGGAGAGAAAGACGGCACGGCCTCGGAGGAACCAAGGACAAACGGTTCGACACCAAAGCCTGACTCGGCAATAGAGCCGAAACCCGCCGCGAAGGTTGGCGTTCTTTGGACGTCTAAGGGCAATTCTGAAACTCCACCAGTAGAAAGACGGGTGTCAAAGCCAGCTCGAGATGCTGAGCAGGAGGCGGAAGCTAGGTACCAGCGCTTGATCAATCAAGTTTCTGCAAAGGACACCGAAGCCTAATCATGTCTTGAGTTTTGAAAATCTCTCTCGCTACGAGTTGCACAAACTTTTTCTTACTTTGGTGCGCTTACAATGGAGTTGGGCATTTTGTTTTGGCGAAGCTAGGAGTGTTGACTGGAACATCATTCGTGGGATGGATAGGCGCTGTTTGCATATAAGTTACCTAGATTATGTTGAACCAAAGAGAAGAGATTTGTAGGCGGAATCTAATCCCCTGGGAACTGTCCGACGAACCATCATGACCGCGGTTTGTATTTGCTCCATTGGTTGTTGAGCATCATGTCGGGTCCCTTATTGATTTCTCCAGGTAAATTACTTAATTACTACGTGTCATCTATGATGTGTGGAAGACCCTTTGGGCTCCAAGACAGAGGCGTTGAAGTTCCCGCCGGAAGCATATTTGAAATTCTAGCATATTCTTTCCACTAGACAGAATGAGGAGACAGGATTCAAGTCTCATGAAGAGTATAAAGCTAATATACTTGGGCCACAACTTTATATGGCCACATGTGGCAGTTTCGTTGAGGATATGTCGCGTCTTGACTTTTCTGGGCAGCTGTTTCATCCGTCTTGGTTCGAGGAGTGTAATATACTCTCCACCAGCTTGAACGTAACTAGTAACGAAACCCACGAGCTTGCGGAGAAGCACTACCATCATGAGTAATTACATTTTGGCATCGCCATGAACTGCGCTTTCATGAGATGACGATTGTTGTGAATTCAAGTGCAACGAGTTTGACATCTGGGGTTCCGAAATGACCATGTCGCCTCTGCTGAGCCCTGTATCCTCTTTTCATCATCTTGTCGATGATTATATTCAGGCATGCCTTCAAAAATGGAACATCGCAATCACGCAATTTGCTTATAGAGAAGGCTGAATTTAGACCTTGATAGCTCCGAGACCGAAAAGTTGTGTCCATAGGTAGGGAGGGTTCACTTGCTGCTACAGCCAGGAGTATCAAACGGACAGATTGGCCTTTACCAAGATCCATACGTGTATCGATGGGAAATGGAAATGAAACTTGCTGTTGTGATTCGCCAGCCAGTCAAAATCACGTATACAACCATCAAGCATCCAGTGCACTTTCCTATTTGTCAAAGCATGGCTTGGAGGACCACGACAGTAGAAGTCATTGATATACCTTCGCGAACTTACACAATGAGGAGAAACCGTACGATTCCGAATATCTCCTCATTTGAGATATCTCGGCGTTCTCAGCCATCTATGTATGGGCGGCAGCAGTCGGCCCTCACTCGCCTCTGGACTAGTCTCCAGTTATGCCCAACCATACTGATGGCTATCATGGCTATGATGCTTTCAAAAGAGGGGAACAGGAAGTTTGCCCTGATCACGAGGATGATCTGGCTGATCTTGTGTATAAATACATGCTTCCCCCCTTGTACTGACCACCTATTCTTTCATCTGTGCTGGATACGTAGCTCTGTTGTGACCATCTCATCTCTCGTTCAGCTTACTCACCTACTCTTTGTCAGAGTGATCCGGCAATCATGAGATTGACCAACACCGTCCTCATTGCCCTCCAGGCATCGATGGGCTTGGGCTTAGTCGTCCCCAAAGATAACATTAAGAAGGAGGTTGCAGAGCACAAGCACAAAACTTCTGATGATGCCATCCCCTACAAGAAGAACTTTCAGGGTTACGAAAAGATCACCAAGATTACTGCACACCGGTACTATGGGCCCAAAGACCACAAGCATCACCATGAAGAGAAGGAGCATGATGATGAAAATGACGACGACAAGGAGGAACATGGCCACCACTCCCATGAAGTAAAGGAGAAGCACGATAAAGATGACCATCACCATGAGAGCAGGAAGCATGATGACGATGACCATGCCCACAAGGCCAAAGGGAAGGGTCACAAGGACAAGGAGGAGGACGACGAAGAAGACAAGAAACACGATCATGATGAAGACGACGACGATGAGGATGAGGCTAAGAAACATAAACTCATCTACCATACGGAAGAGTACAAGAAAGCCAAGAAGGGCACCAAGGAGAAAGTCCCTGTCTTCAAAGATGTTGTGTTGGAGACCCCCCAGCGCCACAAACCCAAGCATGAAGATGAGCAAAAGCATGACAAGGAAGAGAAGAAGGACAAGCCCAATTCAAAGGACGGCAAAATGTACAAGTATATTCATCGAAATGGAATGGACCACAAGCGCGATGTCGACATCAACATCCATGCTCCAACGTACGAGCTCCATCATGATTCCGACAAGAAGCAGGGCCATGGCAACGCGAAGTTTGTTAAAATCCTTCGTGTAAGCTCTCAAGGGAGTCATGAAACAAAGTATCCAAAGTACCAGCATGATGTCGAAAAGAAACACAGGAAGCCAACAAAGGCGTATCACCCCCTTCATAAGTCTCTCCATCAGCACGATAAGTCGAAGCATCATGATGAACACGACAAGGAAAAACAACATTATATCGACGATGAAACCGCGAGGAAGCTTATTAAGTTGATGGGAGCCGGCTACTTGGGTGAGCCCCATAAGGTTGATAAGAATCACTACTCGCTTCCTAAGCCTCACAGTGAGCATATCAAGTCTAAGCACTATGATAGTCACGACAGGGGTAACTTTGGCAGTGAAAAGAAGTATCCACAGTCTGGTCCAGAAACGACCAAGCCGCTTCTCGACATAGTCGACGACTTCTTCAATGAGGATAATGGGCACCGTGGTTCTCCTGAAAAGCAAGTCTATCGGTATAAGTCTTATCCTTCTCACGATCACTCTGATAAGGACCACACCAGCCACCACGATGAAAGAAAATCCCATTCAAACCCATCAAAGGATCATCAGCGTCAATATGAGCCCAAGGACGGATACAAGTCTAAGCACGTAGCGGACGAGCACCCCAATAAAAAAGATCGTACCGCACTGCTCAATGCCATCAGATACGTCTATGATTCGTCTTACAATCCCAATGCGCCCAAATATGTTGAACGCCCCCACAAGACTAAGCCATCCAGAGACGACCAGGACTCGCATCATGAGTCTGAGAAAGAGCACCATTCTCATGACCGGCCTTCCTACCGATATAAAGAGCATGCCGAGTACAAGCATGATGACAATAAGAAGCACATCAAGTTGAGCGAAGGTCGTTCCTCTCACTATGAGCCAGGCTATAAACACAAGGAGCTTGACTCACATCACGATGAAAAGGAGAGCAGCCATGACCATGAACATGAGGACTCTGAAAAGGATCAATACTCGCATTATAAGCCTATTTCTCAGTACAAGAAGAATTTCGACTACAAGCATGATGATGAGAAGAAGCATATCAAACTGAGTAAGGATCGTGTCTCACAGCATAGGCCAACCTATCATTCTAAGAAGCTTGAACCTCACCATGACGATAAAGAGGCCGAGCATCATGAAGCCCATAACGAGTCAAAGGACCACCACTCACATGACAAGCCAAGCTACTGGTATAAGGAGCATTCCGAGCATAAGCATGACGATGATAGCGAGCGTGGCCCGTTCGATCAAAGAGTGAAACTTGATCGTAAGCCTATCGATCACTACAGAAAATCTGAACATCACAAGGCCCACGAACAAGATGACACGAAGTCATACAGAGATCACCAGTCTCACCGTGAGCCTCACACGAAGAGATCGAACAAGCCGAACCCCAATACACCACTTCCCAGGCTCAACGCCACTCAAATCTGCAACCTCGAATATCTTCAGAAATATGACCGAGAGAGAATCGTACATGGTCTGCCCCTTGATGAGGACGGCAAGAGCCAATTCTGCGATATGGAGGAAATCAGCCCTGAGCTGATCGTCAAGCTCAATGCCATGTATGCTAAGATCGTTGATGACCCCAAGTACGCGCCTTTTATCAAGTACCTCGCCACAGACCGAGGGCTGGAAGAAGACACCGAAAACAATAGAAAGAGATCTGCTCCCGAGATCAGCCCAGAGGCGCTTGCAAAGATCGAAGCTATGAATCCAATCCTTCGTGGCGTAGCTGCAGACAAACTCGATTTTAACCCGAAACTCAAAAAGGAGTTTGTGAATGCCAGAAAGCTCTATCCCGGCCTTATCAAGAAGCTTAACAAAGAGTATGCCCGTGTTATAAAAAATCCCAAATACAAGAAGATCGTCGAGAAGCTCAAGTCTCCTGAGAAGCGATCATCCCCGCCCACGATCAGCAATGAGACACTTAAAAAGATCGAAGCTATGGATCCAATCCTGCGCCGCGTAATGGCAGAGAAACTCGATCTTCCCTCGAAACTCACGGATGAGTTTGTGGATTGCGGAAAGCTCGACCATGTTATGGTTCAAAAACTTAACTGGGAGTATTCCCGCATTTACAACAATCCCAAATACAAAAAGATCCTGAAAGAGTTCAACACCAACTCCAAGCGATCTGAGGGTAACGACGAGCTCAAGGACTGGATCAAAGACGAGCTCAAGGACTTGGACAAGGTCGAGACCACCACAGACGAGACCACCAAGGACGAGAACAAGGAGACGCCGAAAAAGCTCACTGAGAATCAGCTAAGGGCGTTGGGATCTGTCCCTCCTGTGTATCGCGAGATTGTAGCCATAGCGCTTGACTTTCCTAAGGGTCTCAAAAAACAGGTCATGAAGAACGCGGTTTACAAGGGTGAACTTCTGGACACAATGAACAAGGAGTGGGCCCGTGTTCAAACAGACCCCAAATATAAAAACTTTGTCAAGAAGATGGAGAGGGTGGATAAGAAAGTCCAGGAGTTGAGGGATAAGAAGAAGGAGGATGATAAGAAGAAGGAGGAGTCGAAGGATAAGAACAAGATACGTGAGCGATCTGTACACCAGCTTACCGAGAAGCAACTCGAAAGTCTCCTTCAACTGAACAAATACGATCGCCAGGCCCTCATGAGAAAGCTTAAGCTAGACCAGTCACTCGCTCATGAGTTCGTCAACGCTTCTAAGCTGACACCTCATTTTATCGAGAAGTTTAACGACGCTATCGCCAAGATTGCCGGCACTCCTGAGCACCAAGAACTCCTCAAGCTTGTTGGCCAGAAACCCCCCAAGGATGAAAAGGAAGATCAAGCCGAGGAGGAAGCCTTGAAGCTGGAATCTGTCAAGCAGGAAGTACGCATGGAAATCGCCAAGGACTTGGAGCTCGACAAATCCACCGAGAAAGAGTTTTTGGAAGCCGAGGAGCTGGCTGGTTCACTGTTGGAGAAGCTCAAGAAGGGTTTTGCGTTCAAGAGGCTGAAGAACATTACCAAGTCAAGGAAAGACGACACTAAGCACCTCGAACTCGTGGAAGAACTTATCAGGGTAGCCACACTGAAGCAAGAAGAAGCCGAGTACAAGGAATCCCAGCGTAAGGACTCCGAGAAGAATAAGAAGCTTACCAAGACTGACGAGAAATTGAAGGAGAAGCTTAAGAAGACAAAAGACAACGGATGGTGCAACGAGTTCGTTGGCGAGCTTGAGGGCACTTGGAACACTTCTGAGAAGAAGACGGAAAGTCAGAGCAGTTAGAAAGAGGAGGATGGTGTGAAGGAGTAATCAAGTTGAAGCTATTCAGATTGAGATATGGAGATATGGAGATGAGTAGAGGCAGAGGTACTCGATTGGATTTGTTAGTCTGGTGTCAGCAGGGTTTGTTTACTGGACCCAAGTCAGCATCTACCTACCTAGACAATGAATACATTCGTTTCGAGACCTAATTCTGTTGCATGATTGGCATCTTGGTTTCTGGGAATAGCTTCAAATTCCACAATAGAAGCCATAATAAAAGTCCGGGCCGACGATGCCGCCGATTCACGTGTCAATCAAATCAATCAAGACGCCGTCATTGATGCTTGGCACATTGGATTGGATGAGCGACAGGGGAAGGAGCGAATCATTACGTATGTGTACGTACCTTCCCTGTCAGCAATTCACCCACCTCACCTCACCTCACCTCACCTCAGGGCCCAGAATGTCATGAAGTCGTCTAGGCACTGTCAACTTGAACTTGTCATATCATCATCAATTGTTGAATTCTTCTTCATTAGGAGCCAATTTGTTAGTATCAGAGTGATGAGAACGCAGTGGCCTTTGCAAAATGGGTCAGAGTCTTTCGGATGAGCATCCGCAACGGCGGTCGCATGAAGAGCTAACCCAGCAACTTGTGAGCTCCTATCATGCGTTACCAGAGCCAATTCTAAATACCGCTAACACAATCTCATAGACGGAGAAGTTCATGAAGAAATGTTTCACCTCTCTTGAATTATACTCACTCAGAGATGTTTTCAAGAGCCTCGCAGATCAGCAGGACTCTATCAGATACCTGAAAGAGGACACTATCGCCCGATATCTGGAGATACCAGACATTCTCGGCACTTCGCCAGTGATTTTCCACATGGTATCCTACATCGGTGCTTTTCCGTTTCTTCAAGATGCACCTGTGGTCTTGGAGTTTCAGCGGATGATTATGGTGGTCGTCATCATGACTGAGCGCTACCGAACCGTATTGGCGCGGGGCTCTTCAGATAGGACCAAACTATTGTTCAAAAGCTTGGCTGTCTTTGATCGTAAAATGTCCGAAGCAGGAGCCCATCCAGACACTTCACATATCGCACCTACCGAGTCCAAAGACGATAAAGAGAAGGCCAGGTCCCGTGTGACCGGTTTTGCGGTTGATGCAGCTGGCGACGAGGAAGAAGATGGTGAGGACGACGACCTTGTATTGACAGCTTTTGAATTGCTTGACATCAAGGATGCCGTGGACCAGGGCCATGCGCCAATCTTTCATGGCGCAACGATCCCAACCGACAATTTCCGGAAACTTGTCATGCTGCTTCTCCTTGCTGCCCCGCTTGATCCTCAAGAAAGTCTCTCGATGTATTCAAGCCGCGTTGTTGGAGAAGAACTTGAGGGCCTCCGTGGCGCTGCTGAGAGCATTCTTGCCTCCTTCGTTAATGCCGAAACCTCAACTGGCATCAAGTACAACCACTTCAGAACCATCATACCTGTGATTTGCCCTAATCTCTTTCGTGGATTCAATGGTCTTTTTGAGCGCTTTCTTTTCTCGCAAAATCTAGATTTCTCCAAACATCAAAATGATACCCCAGAAGCTACTTCATCCCAAAAAGTAGCACAACCTCTATTGACCGACACGAGCGAAATACTAAATCAGAACACATTGTCCCAGATTTCGCTTTTTCTTCCTGGGACAGATCTCTTCCGGCGAGTGAGACTCCTCTACTCAGGCAATGATGCAGGCTTCTCCATGGGAAGTTTCCAGACGAAGGTTTTCAACTGGCAGGCTCCCACGCTGCTCCTGGTGAGCGGAACAAGGCTGGGAGATGAGCCGGAGGGTGGCCAAGAAAGCAGTTTCGCGGCATCTCTGCCTCCAAAGCGGTTCCCTCATGGTAGCAAATCGGATCGACTCACTTTTGGCGTCTACGTTCGGGAACCGTGGAAACACACCCACCGGGAATGCTTTGGCGATTCAGAGACAACACTATTTCAACTTGAACCGATTCACGATGTCTTCCCGGCATCAACCATTAACAAGGATTATGTCACTTTCACAAAAGCACCAGCGCACCATCCCATGATGTCGTTCGGGTGCCCTCATCCGCACCCGTCTCAAGCTCACAGAAAGGCCGATATGTTACGCCTGGGCCCTGTATCATTGTTGCTTGACGACTCGTTCGAATTTGCAGTGTTCAACCATGATTACACATCTCGAGGAGGTGCATTTCACTCAAGCGTAGTGAGAAAGCATGATTTCCAGGACCGATTCCAGATTGAAAGTCTTGAAGTTTGGGGTTGCGGCGGCGATAAAGAAGCACAGGCTCAAGCCGACAAATGGGCCTGGGAGGAACGAGAAGCGGAAGCTCGTCGCAAGATTAATCTTGGAACTGGCGATATTGAGGCTGACCGAGCATTGCTGGAGATGGCGGGGTTAATTGGAGGAAACCGGAGCGGAGGATCTATGACATGAAGCAGCTCCTAGGAAATTGAGTATTGCCAAACATATGTTCTTGTGGCCTGGATAGCACATCGGTTCACTAACTTCCTGTCTTGAGATTTCAAAATCTTCAAACGCAACAAGCATAAACAATCATTAACATTTGCCTAGCTTGAGAGTAGAGTCACGCTGTACTCGAAGGTACCGCCCGTTTGCTATCGTACACACTATCCTTCTGCCAAAATTAGCATGCGAAACTTTTATACAAACCTCCATCATGACCAATTGCTCCTAATGTACAATATTTATGCTCAGTCCTTCCTCTTGGAAATAATCTCGCCGAGATCGCCCAGAGAACTCTTGGGATTCTTCTTCTTCTTGGCGCTGGCGTCGTCCTCGACAGCTTCTGCTGCGGCCTTCTCATCATTCTTCTTCTCTTCCTTACTGCCCTGTGGCCATAAACCAATGCGGCTCAGAATACCTCCATTGCTGGAAGCATCGGTGCCCTCGGGTTGCAATTCTGTGGGCGCTGCAGTTGCCTTGGCCTCCTCGGCCCGCTGGGCCTGGACCTGTTGTCTCTTCTTCTCGAGTCTCGCACGCATGGCCTTTTCCTCCTCATCTCGGGCCTCAAGCTCACGGATCCACTTTTGTCGCTTCTCTTCAGCATCCTTCTGCTCCTGCAGCTGGCGGAGCTCCTTGCTCTTCTCACGGTCTTTCTGGTAGTACATGCTGCCGGCAAGCATGGCGAAGACGGTGAATCCCTGGGCTGCGACTCGGGCTCGGAACATGCGGTTCGCCTGTTTTGAATCGCCGCGACGGAGGGCTCGGTAGGCATTGATAAAGGCGAGAGTGGTCAGGCCCATTCCTATAGCTATTAGAAGCTGTCTCATGCGTTAAATAGTTCGAAAGGTTTTTTATACCGAGGGGGATCAATGGCTCTTCCTTGATCTTGCGGAGAACCTTTTGCATTGGTCTTTCATTCTGAAGTTCCCTGGACTATCGCATGAGCGGGGACTATACGATATAGCAAGCTGGAATTGAAGCATACTGGTCGCCGTCAAAGGACGAGGGCATAGGGCCCGGGAGGGAAGGCGGTGCGTCAGCCATTGTGTCGTTAAAAAGCCCAATTGCTGGCGCAGAAAGTCGCGAGCTTAGAAGTGAAGTTGAATTCGTGAGAAAGTGGGCTGAGGATTTACAGAGGTATCCATGATCGCTCCATTCAGAGCATCCATATCTGTACAAGCATCATCACTTTTCTCGCTGACGGGTGGGCTCCGCTATTCAAGTACGTACCTCGCCCAACGCAAGCAGCATCGATCGGCCTTTCCGTGTTCGGCCTAGCCGCTGCTCCACCAAAACTTCGCAGCTCTGATCGCATTGATGAGCTTATTGAGATGTAATGTAGCTTTGTCATCATCAGAAACAGAGAACAGATTTGTTATTCATTCTAGCATTGCCTTGCAAACGTACTATACTTCACTACCGAACAGAAACGACGACCGACGCGAACCCGACCCTATTAACGCCTCGACAGCCTCCGTCGATCGACTCTACGACCTTCAACTTCCCCTGACACGTCTAGATTCAGCATCATGCAATATCCATGATATAGCCCACCATGTGGTTGCCGACGCCTTCCGTCGAGAGTATTACCCGGCCGCGGCTGGCTGTGGCCGTAGTTTCTGCTGTGGCCGCGCTCTCAGCCGGATACTATGCATACCAGGTCCGGTCGCAAAGTTTCGAGTCTCTGCCTGGTGGTGGCCTACACAGAAGCAACGCAGTACGACGTCAACGCCGGAATCGGAGAAACGAGGATGGCTCAAGTTCCTCATCCGAGGCTCCGGGTGACGAAAACGCCAATATTGACCCCGTCCAACCCCTTGGCGATGGAGAGACCATAGTTGATGGCGGGGACGAGTGGTGGAACGATCCCAGCGGTTTTCCTTCTAATCAACGAACTGGCCACAACATCGTCACCCTTCTCTTCCGCGTTTCAGAGGACAATGCACGCAGAAACGGATGCGTTCACAGAGGTTGCCAGTGCAATTCATGTGGCATGGTTCCCATCCGTGGAGTTCGTTATCGCTGCGCAAACTGTGCCGACTTTGACCTTTGCGAAACTTGCGAAGCCCAGGGAGTTCACATCAAGACGCACATCTTTTACAAAATCCGAATCCCAGCACCACCGTTTGGTCCTCGACAGATGCAGCCAGTATGGTATACCGGGGACCCAGACACTTGCAGACGAACTCTGCCCCGCAGTTTGATACCCAAGCTGTCACAAGATACAGGATTCGAACGGCCAGAGTTGGAGGCTTTCTGGGAACAATGGACTTTTATGGCTAACTCGGAATGGAGAGATGACCCCGATGAGCTTTGTGTCGCAATGGATCGGAAGACATTCGAGCGGTGCCTTGTTCCTACAGGAGGCTCCCGCCACGCAGCACCAAACCTCATCCACGACCGAATGTTCTCTTTTTACGACTCTAACAACGACGATTTGATTGGCTTCACGGAGTTTCTCCATGGGTTGTCCTACAGAAAGCGAAAGGATAAACTGCGAAAGATATTCTCTGGCTATGATCTGGATGGCGATGGATATGTTGATCGCAAAGACTTTTTGCGCATGTTCCGCGCGTATTATGTTCTATACAAGCAGATGCACAAGGATATTCTAGACGGCCTTCAGGATCAGCTACTTGCCAGCAGTGAAGCTCAACAGCTTGTCACAAGCCGTCAACCACTGAGCAGTCTATTTGGACGCGAGGGTCGAGTTCCCCCTGGTGAAGGACAGTTCCGACACGAGGGCAAGACATATCAACGAGATGGCAGTGTAGATATTGCTGACGGGCATGAGCACGTTGTTGCGCCAGATCGTGGAGATACAGCAGCCCGCGGCGATATTCTAACTAACCTGTTTGCCTGTGAAACTGACCATCGATTCCGGTCTAGAAGGCAGTTCATCACCAGAAACGATACAGATAGCAACTGGAGAACAGTTCGCCGTTTGAGTGGGAGTGAGACCGATCGTACTTATTGGGTTACGCTATTGGAACCGGCATCCACCTTGGAGGAGCTTCCAGGCCTTATAATGGAGACTTTGAATCCTGAGATTGAGGAGCCCACAGATGATGAGGATGAGGAGGGTGATGGTGACAGACCCGCAGATGGCGTGAATGGAAACCATGGTGAAGAAAACGAAACTGGAGGCCCATCACGAACGGAAAGTGAGATCAGAGCCGAGACCATTGCCAAGGATCGCAGCAGGGCCCCTAGACTGGATAAACGTAAAAGAGACATGGCACGGAATCAACTACATGAGCGATGGAAGAGGCGGCAGTTCTATCTCGACGAAGAAGAAGGAGGCCTTGCCCCTGATGACTGGGCAGGCAGTGAGGATATTCTGATGGACCTCCGCCAGATGGATGAAGCCTCTAGTGACGATGAAGAAAACGACTCTACAACGACACCAACTAGTTCAAAGGTCAGGTTTGCCAACGGAAATCTCACTGATGACGAAGAGCATGATAAAACGACCTCTCCTAGCAGTGCTTCTGAGCACGTGCCGCGATGGAGAATACCTCACGCCGAGCGCGATGCTGGCAAAGAGATTCTTTACCAGGTCACTCAACAAGCATTTAATGAGTTGCTTGATACCATTTTCAAGCCGGCTGAGGATCTTGCTGTGCAAGCAGCTGAAACCAAAGAACAACGAGCAAAGTACAAGGACGTACTGGACACCATCGAGGCTGGCGATGATGATAAGTCTAAGCCTACAAGCGAGGGCGACTCCAAAGTTAGATCCGCTGCTGATAAGACCCTCGAGGAGCTTTTGTCTGAAACTGGATATACTATCGCCCTGCCAGAGGGGCGAAATGCAATCGAAATTGATACTACGGTTGAAATTATCCCCGAGGATGGAACGGCAGAGCCCGTTTCTCAATCAGAAACCGAGGCAACCATGCCAATCTCTGAAGACGAAGAACAAGATCCCACTCTTCCGCAATTCCGGCCCGACACACTGGAAGATATACCTACTTCTTCAGCTCACGTATTCTACCCCATCACACAGCCTTTACCAGACACACCCGAGGGCGACGTACCAAACGAAGAGGGTGACACCGATAGCGCTCCCACATCAGACATGCTGCGACACTGGAAACGCCTAAGTCTTGCTGAAGCCCAGGCGATCAAAAGAGGAGGGTGGGGTAAACTAAGCTTTGACGAGTTTGAGGCCATCTATAAGAGCCAGGAGCATCAGGGCAACAGACTCGATTATCTCGGAAGCTGGATAGACTTTTGTATTCCTTAGGCACGGCATCGAAACCGCTTTCGAACATGTCCTGGTAGGGCTCCATAGTGAATGCGTGCCCGAGCTGGTGTTCACCCTTTGACATTTATGTAATTTAAGAGGATTCTGCATAGCATCAAAAAGCTTCTATGTACAATAGCGAAAGGGAAGGAATCGTCACATATCAAGCATAGGATAGCGGGCAAGCATGATATTACTGCCACTATGTCTCACGTTGCATGACTGCTCGTTGTTGCAGCAGATACAATATCATTTTCAAAATCACACAGCAGATGAAAAATAGTTATTAGCAATCGAGTTCGTATTAAATCAACGCTGAAGTACTACTACTCGTATATGTTTGCTCAAGTCAACTCAAGCACCCTATTCCACCCACCCCCCATGACCAGCATGCAACCGTCGATCGATCATCTCTCAAAGCCCCTTCTCAAACCTGCTGCTGAGTAGAATCAACACCGTCGAAGCCAAGCAGAGCGTTCCATGTGTCGGCAGTGCTTTGATCCCGTGTTCCCAAAGCCTCAATCTGAGCCTGAGCATCCTCACAAGCAGCCACAGCATCGGCACTAGCGTCACACACGTTGGTGAGCTGATCACAGATACGGTTGGTAATGATGTTGGGGTTGAGAGCCTCCTGCTGGCCTTCAGCAACGAGAGGATCCTGGGGAATGAAAGTGAACTCGTCAGCTGGGCGACCGTTGAGGCCACCGATGCGAGCCATTGTAGGCTGGCAGACACCGAAGTCGAGAGCACCAGCGTTACCTCCAGTGTTACCTCCAGCGTTTCCAGCGTTATCGGCACCATTTCCAGCGTTGTTGTCATCTGCAGCATCATCCTGGCCATCCTGAGCATTATCGTTGTTGCCATTGTTTCCACCCTGGTTGTTTTGGTTTCCATTTCCGTTGTTACCGTTGCCGTTACCGTTGTTGTTTCCATTATTGCCGTTATTGGCATTGCCGTTGCCATTGTTGTTGTTACCATTGTTTCCGTTATTGTTGTTGTTGCCATTGTTGTTGTTGTTGTTATCCTCGTCTTCGCAATCCTCATCGTCATTTGCGTTGTTTCCATCTTGGGCATTATCCGAGCCATTGTTGCCCTGCTGGCCATCAGCGGGGGCAGTGCCATTATTGGCAGCTCCTCCATTACCGGCACCGGCACCAGAATCAGCGCCGGCGCCAGCATTAGCACCATTGTCAGCACCAGCACCGGTGCCGTCATCCTGTCCATCGTCTTGACCGGCACCACCCGCTGCAGCGCCGTCTTGGCCGTCAAGCTCGACTTGATCTCCGTTAGCACCAACAGCTGTGAAGGTGCTGAACCCCTGAGCAATCATCACCTCAGCTTGTGATAAGCCAGCAGCATCAAAAGGAGTTGTGACTGAGGTTGCCGAGTTGGCATTCTCAGTGGCTGCACCGTCAACAGCAGGGTCAACAAGAGGGACAATGCCGCGAAGGGCAGCAGTGGCTGGTAGGCTGGGGTCAGCACAGACAAAAGGTCTGTCAACAGCTGAGGGGTTGAAGTTGGTCTCAGCTGCGACAAGGCCAATAGCTGCATCGAGAACTTGCTGGTCAGTTCCCAACTCAGTGATCATCTGATCAGCGATAGTAAGCTGAAGGATGTTAGTTGATATATTTCCAAGACAAACTAATATGATATACCTTGTCACAAGGACTAGCAGCTGCGAGCAAAGCGCCGGGGATGCTGCCAGCAATGGTGGCAGCGACACCGGGGTCACCGAATCCAGCATCACCAAGTGCCTGGACAGCAGCAACGGGCTCCTGCTCTTGACCGAATCGGGCCTCGGCGTAGGCCAGAAGAGCGGCAAGGATGATAGACTTTGAGAAAGCCATGATGAATATTGTATCGATTAAGTGATAGTGACAAGTTGGAAGGTTTACAAAGAGTATCAAAGCAACCAACCAGCGGTGCAAAAAGAAGGTATTAAACTTGAAGGAGTGGTCGAAACGAATGCGTTCACAGAACAGCAGAAAGAAGCAAAGGAAAGGGGAAGGAGAAGCAGATGCTGAGAAGAGGCTTTTGTGAGTGATGATGATGATCGAAGGGAAACTCTAACTCTGGATGACAGATCGTCTCACTTATATAGATGTTTCTCCCAACACCATCGAGTAGTTAAATTTGAATAAGCTTGAATCAATGCAACTTGGCAACGAGCCTGAACCTCGTTACGGCGATCATACATGACCTGCTACGATATTGTTTGACGAAACCATATCAGTAAGCGCCGTTTCCATCTTGAGATTCTCCCCAGGGTTGGCAGGACTCCTGGGATGGGGTTGGCGTCTCATTGTTTAGTGTAGTTGTCGAAGAATAGAGTCTAGACTATAGGTGCTTATCTGGATAGCCTATAGTCTTCGGGCGTCTTGGCCATGGCCAAGTGACAGGCATGTGTCGCGAAAAGTCTCCTCCGCGATTCCGAGGCATCGCAAGTCTCGGATACGGAAATCCCGAGTTCTTTGTCGCATCAGATAGTACCTTTCAAGTAGTCAACAGTTGAATAGGGCGGCTGCTGTCAAAATTGGTTCAAGACTAAAAAGAAGCCTCGAATGATAATCCATTTGGTAGCATCGTTGGATTGTGTTAAAGTACCAACATGCAACACAAAAAGTGCTGTCCACAAAGAACTGGAGAGCACTGTAACTCAGATGTCTGGTCGAGCTAACATTTTTTTGGTCATTCAACACAATTCCAGTTGGGAATTGCCTAGTCGATACCATCGTCATGCACAGACTGCGACCGGCAAAGATGGTTGCCGTGATTTTGGGGTTTCGGTTGAGGCTCGCTTGAGCATCCTTGTAAATAGTTCAGCCAAATGTGTTGTAGATGTGAAACGCTACCGAAACCACCCACGCCGTTCAACTTTGGTCACCAGAAACAACACGTGCAAGACGCCCAGAAATGTCTGTGCAAAGCGCCGCCAGTCTGGGACGGTGTTTGTGTTTGTCGTGAGCTTTGGTCACTGCTCTTGAAGCTGAGTTACTCCATGTATCACACAGAACTGCAACGCAAGCCCAACTAGCCCAAGTTGAAGGACTGATTGTAGGAGAAATTTTCAGGCAGGCATCAATTGATTCTCTTCTGGCCATATTAAGAATTCCTCGATAGACCATGGACTGCCACTGAGAGTTGTTGATGGTGTTTCTGTAGTTGCGTACCCTGAATCAACCACAGATTCATCCCAAGAAGCAAAGTCAAAGTCTTCTTGGCCCAGAGTTTCGAAGTCCAGTTTATCAATCCAACTTGTTTCTCCATTTTCCAACAAACTCTGGGCCCCTTGACCTTGTCGTTGTTTTCTCAGATATTCTGTTGGCGTCACACCAACACATTTCTTAAACACTCGATGAAAGTGCCACTTGGACAACCCAGTCTGCTTCGCCATCTGACTCAGGCTCAGCCTGACTTCCGCATCGCCCTGTTTCTCTGTTTGTTGTTGCACAAACGCCCGGATCTTTCGTACGGCTGCTTCTTCTGGCATGAACCCTGCTACTTCGGGCTTACAGCGTTTGCAAGGACGGAAGCCAGCTTTCTGGGCATCGTAGCCATGGGTAAAGAATGAGACGTTTGCTCGGCGGGGAAGACGGGCTTTACAGATTGGCCGGCAGAATATCTTGGTAGTGCGAACTGCATAGACGAAGAAGCCATCCGCATTGGTATTGCGTGAGGTGACTGCATCCCATCGAGATGTCTCGTCTTCAAAGAGTGTTACAAAGTCCAAGGCCTGACCAAAGTCAAGAGTTGCTTGATCCATTGAGAAGTTTGATAAATGCATGGAAAAGTTGATGAATGAGTTGAAGTTGAATCAATGATGGTGATGTAAGGTGAGAGGAAGTAACGGGTAGGCGATTAGTGGGGTCTTGCTATCAATATGACCAATGAAGTAATTGGAAAGCATGACATATTGCTACGAAACTTTGAATAAGGTAGTTAGTCACTTTAGATAACTACTAACCTTAGGATCTTTCTATTCGATCTTAATATCTTGTTAAACTGTAATGTTAAGTTACTGAATTACATCTGACGCCGATTGATCTGTCTATCATTTGAGACAGGACTCCTATGTTGAGCAGAACTGCAGAATACCCTACAATAGAACTTAGATGATTTATACCGAGACTTAGGCTTAGACTTGCCATTCCTACCAACATAAGATTGTCCCTTCAAACCTTACACCCTATGAGGCTGAATACTTTTGCAGTTTTATTCGATTAGCAAGACTTCTTCCTTGATCTCAGCATTGAGCTTGACCTTGAGAAACGATACGACAGTCTCGATTTAAAGACACTAATTATTCTAAGAACAGTCTTTAATCACTATAATGATCATTTTCACAAAAGCAAAAGAAGACAATGTCTAGGTTCCTATGCAATCTGCACCCTCCCGATCGTTGCGCGCTGATGATCTGCCATGTCCATATCGCCTCTATGCTCATTCAATCAAGTATTGTTGAAGACAGTGATTCAGACAACTGCGCCTGCTATGGCGCATACAGGGCTGACGGGAAGCCCCTATGTTATTTGTACGTAGAAACAGAACGGGCCATCGTATCTAGAAGCGTCTCCAGGTGGATATGAGCGAAAACGACATAAATCGGATCAGATGCAAGAAGAAAACTTGGAGAAAGGCCTCCGTCGATTTGTTCGTTCCTTCGGACAAGATACGCTGTCTATTAACTCTCGAGGTAAGCCGATTCATGCCTCTAAATGTCACTCATTCTTGCTGACTCAATAGACACCGAAAGTTATCGGTTGGCCGTCATCATGTTAGACCAGGAGGTAACCCAGGAAGAAGCAGATATCGAAATCGGAATAGCTAATCTCATGGTTCATAAGAGACAACGAACGATGGTCTTAAGGGGTGACATGAGCAACAATGCATAACCGGGCAAAGGGAATTTGACTGACTACAGATATAAGTGACTTACCTGCGAATAAAAAGCGAAACCAGCATAAAGGTGGTGGCTCCGCTCATTCAAAGAGAAATTCTCGCAGGTTGCGTCTCTTCTATTTCAAGATTATAGGTGAACAAAGTTCTCTCATCAAGTTCGCGAGTTTTGAAGCCCATGAGACAAGGCAAAAACACAGGAGCTTTTGCAAATGCTCCAGAGTTCTTGCTTCCAGGATACCTTCGATTTGGTCTGGAACTCTCAACTTATCACCCCGTTTGTAAGTTTTAATGATTGGCGCAGCAAAGAAGGCATGATGCCCTTTTTTATCAGCTTGTATGCAACGAGACACCTCTTTAAATATTCTGTGCCGTCTGATGAGAATGGGTGCAAACATTCATGATCTTTCGAACAGCGGCCTATACAGCTGTGGGCACGACATAGCTCATTCTCGTTTGATAGCAACGAGTAAGCGTGTGCTATTTTATGACCGCTTATGTACTCGTCATGGCTTCGAAAAGCTTTGGAAAGGAAAAAGAAGACGAATGTCCATACTGGGATGACAAACCCTGGCCATCTTCAAAGCACCGAAGAAGATACAGCTATGATGACTCAAACTTCACAGGCTGCTATGTTTCAGACGTCGAAATTTCAGAAGATGAAGATGAGACGGAAAAGTTCGGCTCTGAAGATGACGACGGCGGGGTGGTGTTATGATTACCAGCAATCGACGTATCGCCATTCTTTGAGCCATCTCAACTACTTACCTAGGATAGGCAGTGCAACATTCGAGTTTCCCAACTAAGATCATAGAATTAAGAAAATCACTTAACTGTAGTAAACTAGCAAAAGTTTTGGCTATTGTTTGCCTTAAGTTTTAGACTTCAAAGTATGGAAGCTTCTACCTCATTCTTATAACGGCCACCCGGGCTGAAGGTAGGTTTGTGAGGTAACTGCAATGGCACGCAAACTGAAGACTATGAACTCAACAAATAGCAATTATCAGTGTATGTTGAAGTAACCAATTACAAGTTTGATCAAAAGTAGTCAGCGGATGGATTGCGGGGTGAACGACTCCGACGCCGATTTTCATATCGACCTTTATAGAAACATGCCAGCATGTCACGGCCAACAAGCGATCTGCAGCTTAATTTGGCTGGCTAGATATGCATATGTGGAGGATTGCTCCGCAAGATTGCAGCTTTATGTAGAAGTCGTTCGAGCTGTAGTCGGTAAATGAAACATAGATTAGATCACGAGCCTTTACTGTCATAGAGCGGTTAATAGAAGTAAGCACTGGGCTCTGAAAAGATACGTTGTAGATTATCTGTATCAGCTATACCTCAACTGCGGGTAAACAAAGCTGGAAGAACTTTGGTTGATTGCGTCAAGAGGGGCATGCAAGATAACTTGAAACAATACCCATTGACCCGTCTCGTGTTGAAAAGACGGTGGAGGAGATCGCTTCGACAGTGGATCGAGATGTTGACATTTCAAGAGGTTTAAATAAGCTAACACTGCATGTGCATGATGGCTGCGTCAACGTTCCAAGAAGCTCTCTTCTTCGTTACTGACTCGAACTGGAAATCTTTGAATAGAAGTGACAAGGGCAGAGTTAAAAGAGTCAAATCATCCATCTCAATTTCAGCCCGTGCTTCCGTACCGAGGTTGCATGAGTCCACCACATGAATTGGCCAATCGATTCTGAGGAAATCATCATCAGCCCAGAAGATGCTGGTTCTGAAGCAGCCAACGGGCCCCATAGCGGGGGATAAGTCAATCAATGAGAGACCTGAACATGGGCCTTGCGGCGGCATTTCACCGGGTTCCATACAAGTTAACAACTTGACTTGCAGAAGCGTAGTGCGCATCTATATCACACGAGAATGACATCTTGGACGCATAAAATTTGGTGCCGTGCCTAATTATCGTTTTACTTTATCACTTTTCGCTTCCACATCTTCCCACCAAACTTAACCAATGCGAAAAACTAGGGTTTTACGGGAGCGAGCCGCCACTGGCCCGCATGTGGATGTAATTGGCACAAGGAAAAGGGGTAAACTCGGGTATTGAACCAAGAGAGATCTACGGTGCAGTTCTGACGGTCCTCGCCTCAGATTAGGTAGGGTGCTAGCCAAGCTAAAAGCTTAAGAAACCTTGGCTGTCAATGAGAGAACAAGATAGAGAGGGGCAGCTTGAATAAGGGGACGCGAGAATGGCCTCTTCCCATTGGTTTATTCTCCGTCTCAACGAAATGGAAAGCTTTGAGCAACGGTGGCTGGACCCCTTCCGTCCCCTGGAGCTAGGGCCATTCCATTTAGTCCAGGGCCATCTAGAATCTCGAAATTTCCTTGGAATGAGGCCTGGACAGGACAGACTGTGGTACCTTGGGTAGGTAGGTAGTATATAATTAATATTTGTTTGTTTCTACTGGTGGAGGGTGACATCCATCCACCTTATTCTTATTCGGAACGGAATTGCTCAAATGGATATGGATGTTCTGCTGATGCAGGGATGAGAGGAGGACAAGCGCGGGCTGCAGTGAATGATGTGCTGAAATATTGTTGATCAAAAGGAGAACCAAGGTGGTTGATTCATGGAACTGTCCTCTTGTCACTGCGGGGCAATAACACAGCACTTCTCATAGCTTCAATGAATACTCGTCTATCCAATTGGTGGTCGATTGGCTCTTGTTTCTCCTATTCTCGCCTGCAAAATAGGGTTTAACAGCAATACCTCCTCTATAAAACAATCTCAGATCAGATCCAGTGCCAATGCAGTCCAGCTGCACCTCTTCGCTCACCGCCTTCAAAATGCCCGCTGTGAGGTGGGGCACTTCTCCCTTAACAGCTCTGCAGAAGGTACGTACAGTGAAGGTGGACACCCTGGCACTGGCACTGGCACTGGAACTGGCCTGCCTACTCCCCGTAAAATACCCCCGCTACCATGGGTGTAGTGCAGTGCGCTACCCCCTACGAGCCTCTTTAGAGCCAGCCAGTTCTCAAGTTAATTCTCGGGGGTTCAAAATTCATCGGGATCCCATTCTCTCAGGTTCCTTTGGCTGCCCGATCCTTGAACTTTTCCTCCTCCCTTTCTCCTCTCCTCCTACTTTTTCTCCTCCTCCATACTCATTACCTTCAGGCATCGCATTTGCCATTCGCTGTGTTGAGTTTTGCTTGTTGAGATCGAAAGCCATTGGTAAACTCCAACGGCTTTTGCTCGACTTGACATCTGATTAGCTGCGCGCAACCTCGAAAAGCGAAAAGCGACAGGGAATCTTTGCTTAACTTTTTTTTGATTTGGATCTCGATTGAACCTTGCATCGTTATATCTTTCCACCGAAAGTTTCCTCCCCGCCTTGCGAGAATAATTCAGAGTTCAGGTGCATTGATTGATTTGATCTCTTCCAACGCAATCAACTCAACTCCCTGATCTCTTCCTCTCCCCCAAATTTCCATCTTTTTGTGGCCTCCGACTCCGACCCGCGGACCCCTCCCTCCTTCCGCCCACTCAGCAATAGCAGACAGCCACAGCTCAGCGCCTCTCTACCACAGGCCTGGTCTAAGATAAGACAAAGGACACAGCATCCTCTTACACGAGACGGAGCGAAAACTGCACGAGAATACATCATTTCTGCTACGGGCGCTCAATCATGAGCGGCGATCCAATCATGCAGGTCGAGGACAAGATCGTCCCCGGACCTTCTGTCACCAGCGCAGAGACAGCTGTAGAGGAGACGATCATTCGACAAGATGTAACTGTCATTACAACAGCAACAGACGAGGCTACGGGCCCCAATTCAGCCTTGAGCGGTACCGCCAATCCCACTTCACCAACCACTGCTGCCCCGCGACCACGACTCAAGAAGGACAACAGCACGCCCAACATGAACGGGCCACTCTACATGCAGACTGCCGGTAACAAAACAGTGCTTGTCCGCCGACTTAAGCGCAAGGAGGAGAGCACCTGGAAGCATCTCTCGCGCTGGTTTGTCGAGAACCAAATCGGTACGTTACTCTCTAACCTCCTCTTTTTTTGCCGATCATGGATTGCGAGCGAACGAGCGATGTTCGTGGGGGTGTCAACTGTCAAGGGTGTCAAGTCAAAAATCCAGACTTGTCCCTGGTTAATGACACTTTGGGAATAGGAGGGTGTCGCACTTGAGCAGCACCCCGCGTGGCACGGCATCCCTACAGTACCATCCCAGGCCTAAGGGTCCTTTCCTGCTACGCTACGCTACCTAAACGCCTCGCTCCCATGACTTGACAGGTTGATCGCCTGCTGGTGTGCGTCCGTGTGTGTGTGCACTGATTTGGCCATTTTATCTTGTATTGCTGAACTCAAGCTGACATCGGGTTTCCATTTTAGGCCTCTCTTTTAACCTCCTCGCTCTCATCTTCCTCGCCCAGACTTTCATCCCCAAAGCTCGAGAACACACCCACAAATTCTTCCACCTCAGCTACTACAACTCTCAATCTGGCCAGTATCGCGTCGGTTACGATGATGCCTATTTCATCACCTTCTGCATTATTCTCTTTACCGGTCTTCGCGCCGCCACCATGGAATACGTTCTTGCACCCATTGGTCGACTTCAGGGCATCAGCAACCGCAAGAACCTGACCCGATTTAGCGAGCAAGCTTGGCTCATGGTGTACTATACTGTTTTCTGGCCCTGGGGAGTAGTAAGTTTGATACTGCTCAAAAATGTGAGAAACATGCGCTGACATCTGTATAGTACATTTACTGCACTTCGCCTCACTATATGAGCATGGAGAATCTCTGGACCGACTGGCCCAACCGCGAGCTCGATGGACTCATGAAGGCCTATCTCCTCTGCCAGTGGGCTTTCTGGCTGCAGCAGATGATTGTCATTAACATTGAGGAGCGCCGTAAGGACCATTGGCAGATGTTTACTCATCACATTGTCACCACCGCTCTTATCTTCGCCTGCTACACTTACCACCACACCCGTGTCGGTAACTTCATCCTGGTTAT